ACCTGTCTATCCGTCTGTCTGACATGATGCTCGTCTGTCTTCTCTTCGGGGAGTGCGTGCGTCTGTTCGCCTGTCCGTCTGGATCTGTCCATCCGTCTGAAGTTGTCTGCCTGTCCGCCTGACCGTCTGTCCATCTGTCCCTCTCCGTCCGTCTGTCTGTCCGTCCGTCCGTCCGTCCGTCCGTCTGTCCTTCTGTCCTTCTGTCCGTCCGTCCGTCCGTCCGTTCGTCCGCCCATCTGTCCATCTGTCCGTCCGCTGCAGCAATGCGTAGCGCCCCCCGGATGGGCGGAGGCGAGACTTTCATCATCGCCATCGTCTCTCCTCATTCCGGCACCATTGGTATTGGTCATTAGTGGCGCTATCGACAGTCATGGTGATCAGCGCTCGAGCCCGGCCCGCGGGACGGGCGTGGCGGCCGTAGCGGCCGTAGCGGGCCGTGGTCGGAGCTCCCCGGGGTGCGCCCGGCCGCCTCTGACGGCCGCTCGGAGCCGGCGCACGGCCGCCGGTAGGCTATCATGCCTGCAGATGGTCGTGCCGAGTCCGCCCGGGGGTCACACGGCCTCCTGGGGACCGGTATCGGACCGAGTCTCTCGATCAGTGATGCTTGGATGGTGCTGATGAACGTGTTGCTGACCGATGGTGGATGGTGCTGCCGACGCGCGGCGGTGGAAACGAAAGCGCAGTGATGACCAGTGCGGTGATGACGGGCCGGCGATCGGCTCCGTCGGCCTGACAGTTCTGCAGGATATTGAACCCGAGTGACGGATGTGACTACGTCTGACAGATGACGTTGATGACGGCCTGTGCTCAGCTGACGCCGCCATCACGACGTCGTCTGTTGCCTGTTGCTCTATCGCTCGATCCCCGTCTCGTTTCAAAATCTGGCGTCCAGCTGCTCACTCAACCCTCCCGCCCCAGATGACTCCCCTGAGCCGCCGTAACTGCTCCATAAGCAGGCCAACTCGCACCCCGTGTATCCATAGCTGCTGTTTATTATTCCACGTAAGCCTCCCGACGAACTAGGGAGACAGCGTTCCGTGTTGTCGGGCTATCCAAACAGGACTGGGCTGCAGAAGACACGCACGGGGCCGATGGCGGCTCCCCGGGGCCGGCTCGGCACCGGGGCCGATGTCCTGAGGTGGTTCTCGTCTGGCTCGCCGGGCGGTGCGGGCAGATCAAACGGCAAACAGTCCCCGGCACGACACGGAGATAGTCCCAGTCGAGACTCGTCAGCCCCACCGGCGCCGATCCGCATACGGAATCACCGCGCCGCGCACTGACATTGATATGAACCGGCACGACCTGTGCGCGGGGGATTCGATGTGTTCTATGTCAAGATCTACACACTACAATGTATTTCATGCTTACTATTAGCATGTACCTCCAGCCTCATAAACGCATTGCCTAGTCTAACAGACTCGATGTGTTCTTATCGCATGGACAGAATCATACCTGCAAATGATGCCTGTCATTTGTCCTTACTTCATGAACGTATTACCTTCACAAGGCGCAATGATGAATTATTTATGCAAGGACCGATGTGCTCAATGTTCCCGATAACATCATTACCATGCCGTGAGCGCCGACGCCCCGTCGCACCTGTGGCATGGTCCGTCCCACGCTGACGCGATGATTACACCGCTCACGTAAGGTGCCGTGTGCCGGCGCGGCGGTAGTGGTGTCGAGTGGCGCGCGGCCATCACATTACCATAAGGACGCCCATCTCATGGGAGTGGCCGCTGTCTCCGGCGTCCTCAGATGATCTGCCGGTCCGCTGGTCCGCTGGTCCGCCGGTCCGCTGGTCCACTGGTCCGTTGGTCCACTGGTCCGCTGGTCCACTGGTCCGCGGTCCGACTGTCTGGCTGACAGATGGTCCAGCAGTTCGACTGTCCGATGGTCCGGTCCTCAGCCGCTTATGGTGCCGTTGTGTCTACATACGTGACAGCAGTGGTGGGAGGTAATCCGAGCTGCTGCGAGGCCGCGCGGAAGTGGCGTCCCCGTTGCTCTGCGCTGGGCGCCGTCTCCCCGGAATGCTAAATGTCGTCTCTGCGGGGAAGCTGAGGCCACTGCCGGGTGCCTGGGTCAGCGCAGTGACCTGCGGGCGTGGAGTACCTAATGGTGCTCTGAGCGGTCCCCGTCCCATGTCGCCGCAGATGATGCCGCGGCGACTGGCCAGCCACTCGCCCAGGCCATGCATATTGCATAAGCTGGTTCTGTTCTCGGCCCTTGGTCACGGACCGTGCGTCCGCTGGGACCGGAGGAAGCAGCCCACCTCTCCCTACAGGCCGTTGTCCTGTTCTGTATGCATACGGATTCGCCTGCAACTCATCGGGGAGATGAAAACCAACATCCGTGTGACACTATCGCTCAGCAATGTCGCATAAACGAGACACTCCAGGAAAATACAGCACCAGGACAAATTCAGAGGCGGGATGATGCTTCAAAGATGGTGCAGTCAGAACAATTTCATTACCAACACATGTAGAGCGGCACTGGCTGAGAACGACTGACTGGCTGACTGACTGCCTGACTGCCTGACTGACTGCTTGACTGACTGACTAACTGACTGAGTGGCTGCCTGCCTGCCTGACTGAGTGTTTGACTGACTGACTGACTGGGTAGCTGACTGGCTGACTGACTGACTGGCTGGCTAACTAACTGACTGACTGACTGACTGACTGACTGACTGACTGACTGACTGACTGACTGACTGACTGACTGACTGACTGACTGACTGACTGACTGACTGACTTGTCTCCTACCCGCGCTGGCTGACTGGCCGTTGCAGCACGCTCAGTTCCTGGTTCACAGCTCGTCAGAGGCCGTCTGAGTGATGGCACCTGTCAGAGCGTCCCCAATGACAAACGACCGAGCCCTGGCACCGGTCCATTATCATAGGTACGCCCGGCAGCGATAAGGACTCATTTGTGAGCTGAGCCATCCAACGGCTGGTCATAGGGCTGCATGGCAGGCTGATGTTACGAGATATTCTGCGAAGTCATGCAAAGCCATGCCAACGCGAACGGCCTGATGATGGCGTAAGGACGCCGCTTGTCAAGAAGCCGAGCATTATCATCCCGTAGTGCATTTATCGAACCTTTCATGTGTCGTAAAATAGCTCAGACCGATAAATCACAGCGTAAATCATCAGACGTCGTGAGCTGTAGTGGGGGCGAATGCGGAAACTGGAATAAATCAATAGCTGAATGATGCATTGCACAATAGTGTTCAAAGAGCATAATCGGTAGCAACTGAAATGTTTTGCTGTGAACGTGTCGAACTATTGCCCGAAACATCGTCCATTTCATGGATACGTATTACGTACTGTCTCATGAGTAGTTTCCATATTGGCGCCCAAGTTGACTTGATTGTGGTTTCGCCCATTTTCACTGAGTTTCAATCGCACCAAACATCGTATTATATCACAATGCTAACACGAAGTGAGCAAAATGCACAATGAAAAATACGAGCCAGCTCTGCAATTCCAATCAAGCTGATTTCGTCGAAGGCGCCAGACTCGATGAGCGCAGCATTTCTAATGCAGGACAGACATTACCAGATTCGACGGAACCCCACTATCGGAAACCTCAGCGGTTTCTTCGTTCAGCCGGCGGGATCCCGGAGATCGTTGCCATGCAGCCTGGAGCTAGTGACAGGAGATGGGCGCCCACGAGGCTCGAATCACGTTCGATTTCCGCCTGACGTGCCATTCTGCCCACGGATCTTAGCGTTGTCAAATCCTCGTCGTTTTGAACAAACGGGAACGACAAGCACGATAACAATATAACAGTGCAATTGTCATTGGATTGTAGGTTGCAATCACTACAGACAAGAAGTGGGGTGTTGCGTAAACGGGGCTGCTTGCAGTGGCAGAAATCTGGAGGCGAGGATATGCTGGTTCCTGGGATCTCCGAGGTTTGGACTCAGTCGCAGGAAGTGCGGAGTCCCGGGACGGGTCGCAGTGGCTGAGAATTCCGGGACGGTGCCGCAATGACTATGGATTCCCGGAGCGGGCTGCTGTGACTCAGGATCCGGGGGCGAGCCATATTGCACGAGGAGTATACGTGGGCTGTTCTGACACTGGGTTCAGGAGTGAAGCATAGACACTGCACACACTGTAAGGACGGTGTGCCGGCCAGACTTCCCTCCGGCTGTAACCGCAGCCGCGGGTGGGGCGATCCATACAGGGGACAGGCCCGGCGGGCGGCGCGGACCACACCCCTCGTCTGCACGCGACCGTGTCCCCTGGGAACCGGCCGTCCCCCCACTCATCAGAATTAGAGGTGCACCGTCGCCGACCCGCGCGGGCATGAGTGCCAGAGTTGAGCGCCGCTACGTGCCGGCCGTGAAGGATGTCCATGACTGGACGGTGGCAGGAGTGGGCTCCTCATCAATGAAAGTCATGCTACCGAGCCGACATCACGAATAAACGTCGGCAAGCTCGGATGTTCGATTCACAGAAACTCTAATCAATCTGAGTGTGGCGTGATATCTGATACACATACATCTGTAAGGCACTCATGTTAGATTCATGTAATGTTTAGTATGACAAAGCAGCCCAAGAGTCCTCGTCAATGTTCAGTAGAATTTAAAGGAGGATGTATTAAATCAGCACACAGACATGAGACAACGCCATTCGTTGCGCAATGCGCAGCCCTCGGGTCCTCCTGGCCACCCGCGGCTCGTAGGCCCAATCACTGAGAGGCATGGGGCACTGCTGCCTCTCCAGCGCCAGGGGACCCACCCGTCCGGTTCCTGCAGAACGGGTCAAAGGGTTATGTTTAGCTGAGCTCACCCTCCCAACTGGTAAGTGGGGCCTTTCGGGCCGCCCGTTCGGCCCAGCCAGTTGACATTTGATGGCTTTGCACCCGGAATAAACACGAAGTGACGATTCCCGGGCGGCCGTCACCGAAGCCGGAGCGAGCGAACGACTGTAAACAAACGGTCATGGCCCGCGCCATGGCTGTGATATAGATCATATCAATCGTGCAAACATGTTGATAAGATCAGTTACTGCCAGGGAATTACATGTGTTCTGTCCTTGTCCACCGAACACTCAACTGTGCCTCGTAGTCTTCATATATTGTAACGCCGCCACGAACCCCACCCAGTCGCCAGCCCAGACACGAATGGCGCGCACACGAGCAAACCTCCCGGCATCGACTCCGCTGACGTGTAAAACCCGACCAGTGAAATCGGCCACTAAATCAACAGCGCAGTATACAACACTAAATCAATAGCGCAGTACGCAACACTCCTCCCCACAGGCAAGAAGTATACCCACGCCACGATTCAGCACCGTAACTCGGTAGGGGGCACCACTGCAGCGGTCTAGGGGTGACCCGCGACGACATGGGCCGGACGAATTTGGTCAGCATGACGGGTGAAGGCGCGGCCGTCCTCGAGGCGAACGTCCACCATTACACCACTGCCGTTCGAGACCACCGCGGGGACCCATCGGCGGGCGAAGCCCTGACACTCTTCAACCCAGACGGCGTCCCCGACGCGGAAATCGCGCGGTCGGGCGCGGCGGTCGTGGACGTCCTTCATGGCAGACTGACGGGCCTCCACGGTGGAGCGCAGACTCGGGCGCAGCGACTGCAGTGGAGTACGCAGCGCTCGGCCGAACATCAGCTCAGCCGGAGCTCGCCCCGTTGTCGACTGTGGCGAATTCCTGTAGGTGAAAAGAAAACGCGACAGTTTTGTCTGGAGACTTCCTTCAGTCCTCCTCTTCAACGCCGATTTTACGACTTTCACCAAAGCCTCAGCCTGGCCATTGGAGGCGGGATGACGCGGCGGGCTACAGACGTGCCGGATACCATTCTCAGACAAGAACAACTTAAACTGTTCACTCGTAAAGCAGGTGCCGTTGTCTGACACAAGGACTAACGGTAATCCAAAAACAGAAAAACACTTGCGAAGGTTTTCAATCACACATGTTGAACTTGTTGAGCTCGTAACAAACACTTCAAGCCATTTGGTGAACGAATCCACAACTATTAAAAGCATCTTCCCCTCCACGGGGCCGGCAAAATCAACATGAATTCTGCTCCACGGCTCGGTGGGGAATATCCAGGGTTTCAAAGGTACCACTGGTACCTTACCTTTGTCCGCCTGACACGCCTGACACGCCCTTACTCGGTCCTCAATCTGGCCGTCCAGTCCCGGCCACCAGACGACGCTCCGGGCGAGCTGCTTCATCGCCGTCATTCCAGGATGGCCACTGTGCAACAGAGACAGGACGCGACTTCTCAGCTGAGTAGGCACGACAACTCGTAAACCCCACAACAAACAACCATTCTCGATGCTCAACTCATGACGGTGGTTGAAAAAGAATGATAACTCATCTCTGGGACAGACCTCGGGCCATCCATCACGAGTAAAGATGTACGCGGCGGAAACAGCGGGGTCTCGACGGGTGGCGGCCTGAAGCTGAGCGACCGAGACCAGACTCTCCGCGGCGTCCAGCATCTGTACCACCTCGGCCGGCGGCGGCGGGTCCGGCGGGCAGAACGGAGCCGGCAGGCGGCTGAGGCCATCCGCGTTGCTGATCTCCTTCCCTGGAACGTACTTCAGATCGAAATCGTAGCCGGTCAGGGTCAGCTTCCAGCGGACCATCCTCGGCGACACCACCTGCGGCAGAGACTTGTGTGGGCTCAACAATCCCAACAACGGCTTGTGGTCAGTTTTTACAACAAATCGGCGGCCATACAAATATTGGTGAAACTTCACAATGCCAAAAACTACACCCAAAGCTTCCTTGTCTAGCTGGCTGTAATTGCGTTCGGCGGCAGACAAACGGCGGCTAGCATATGCTATGGGACGGTCAGCTCCTGATCTGGCATCTGGGTGGCTCAGAACAGCCGCAACACCCTCCGGGCTGGCATCAGTAGTGAGCACTAGCGGGAGACTCTGCTGATAGTGGCACAAAACTGGGGCAGAGCAGAGCAGGCGTTTAGTCTCTTGGAAGCTCGACTGTTGACTTGGACCCCATACCCAAGGGGCATCTTTCTTACCTAAATTGTACAGCGGAGCAGCAACTGTACTTAGGCGCGGCAGGAATCGGCTGTAGTATTGCAGTAGGCCGAGGTAGGCTCTCAACTCTGGCAGGTTCTTGGGCTCAGGAGCAGACATCACGGCGCTCACTTTGTCGTCGGACGGCTGAATTCCGGCGGACGAGATGCGGTGACCCAGGTAGCACACTTCACGCGCCAACCAGGTCGTCTTCCTCACGTTGATCTTGAGGCCGGCATCAGAGAGACGTTGCAGCACCTCCCTCACGTTCGACAGGTGTTCAGCCGGCGTCTTTCCTGTGACACAAAGGTCATCCAAAAACACTGCAGTATGAGGCACACCCGCCAACAAAGTTTCCATTTCCCTTTGAAAAATGGCGACTGCAGATTTGATACCAAAAGCTAGGCGAGTGACACAGAACAGGCCCTTGTGTGTGTTAATGGTAGTATACATCTGACTCTGGCTATCAAGTTCCAACTGTAGATAAGCTTCGCGCAAATCAATCTTGGTAAAGTAACGGCCTCCTGACAAAACCGCAAACAGCTCCTCTGTCCGGGGCAGTGGGTACGACTCCAGAGACGTGGCAGTATTAACCGTCAAATCATAGCTACCGCACAGGCGTATACTACCGTCAGACTTCTTCACTGGGACGACGGGTGCCGCCCACTCAGAAGTCGGAACAGGGCGCAGAATACCCAGCTGCACCTGACGGTCCAGCTCATCTTCGATGTCCTTCTTCAACGCCAGCGGAGGCGGGCGGTGCTTGTAGAACTTGGCTGGCGCTGACGGGTCCACCTGAAGCGAGACCTTACGAGGTTTGTAGCAACCCAAACCAGGGCTAAACACATCTGGGAACTCCAGCTCCATCTTCTTCAGACTATGTAACAGCGACTGGGCATCACCGGGGAGGCACTCCTCAGAGCCAATCATGCACAGGGACTGCCAGTCAAGACGAATCACTTGTAACCAATCACGTCCCAGCAGGGCGGGCCCAGGTTGTCCCACAACCAACAGCTGCAGCTGAGCTGTCTGACCCTGGTAGGACACCTGGACCTCAGCCACTCCCTCAATAGGGACCTCCTCTCTCATGTACGTCAACAGGCGACGGCCAGAGCACACCAGGGGCGGTCGGGCAGACAGGTCAGGCCACAGCGCACAGTACTGATCATGACTGATGAGACTACAAGAAGCTCCAGTGTCCACCTCCATGGTCAGTGGAACACCATTGACACATACATCCACTTTATACGGTCTGGCAACAGCAGCAGCTGGGGCTTGGCGGGGCAGGCTGAAGGCGGTGGCTGCACAATCAGATAGGCCAGCAGATGCAACAGCACCAGGCGGACTGGCAGCGGCGGCAGGGCAGGGCGGGCTGGCAGCAGCGGCAGAGCCGGGCGGGCTGGCGGCGGCGGCAGCGGCAGGGCAGGGCGGGCAGGCGGCATGGCAGGGCGGGCAGGCGGCAGCAGCAGGGCAGGGCGGGCAGGCGGCAGCAGCGGCAGGGCAGGGCGGGCCGGCAGTGGCGGCAGCGACGGCAGGGCAGGGCGGGCTGGCGGTGGAGGCAGGGCAAGGCAGGCTCACCTCTGTGCTGGGCGGTCTCACCGCTGGGCTGGGCGGGCTCACCGCTGGGCTGGGCGGGCTCACCGCTGGGCTGGGTGGGCTCACGGCTGGGCTGGGCGGGCTCACGGCTGGGCTGGGCGGGCTCACGGCTGGGCTGGGCGGGCTCACGGCTGGGCTGGGCGGGCTCACGGCTGGGCTGGGCAGGCTCACTGCTGGGCTGGGCAGATTCATGGCGGTGCCGGGCAGGCTGGAGGCAGGTTCAGAGACACACATCTCCTGGCCAACATGGGCAAGTCCAAACAATTCATACACTTCAGTGTCGGGTTCCACAAAATGAGACGTCTGGGTGGTTTGTGGATGGTTGATCCTACAAGCAGCTCGAGTATGACCAATCCTCCCACACGCAAAGCAAGCCGACTTCTTGAAGGGACAGTGAGTCGGCTGGTGGGATGTTCCCAGACATCTACTGCACTTGGTTGGCTGGCCAGACACAACCGCAGACTTCTTTGGCAACTGCTTAGACTGACAGACCGACTGAGTATGTCCCACTTTTGAACAATTGAAGCAACTTTGGGTCCTGAAAGGACACTGACTGGCCTGGTGCCTCCGACTGTTACATCTTTGACACCTCACCGTGGATGTAGACCGGGCGAGATGCAGCTGCTGTGGTGCCACCTGGCTGAAGTGAAGTCCTGGCCTGCTGAGGTCCTCCAGCTGGGTTCTGGTTACCTCCAGGTGTTGGGCCATTTCCACAGCCTTTTGTAGCGTCAGGTGTGGATCTGCAAAAAACCTCTTCTGCAGCTCCGGGTCCTTGCACCTGGCAACAGCACATTCCAGGACGACAGTCTCTCTCGCCACCAAATCATACCCACATCGATCTGCTTGCAAACGCAAGCGAGTTATAAACGCATCAAACTTCTCCCCCTCCTTCCGGAACATATCATGCACGATTGCCTTTTCATAGGTGACGTTTACCATTGGTTGAAAATGAGCCTTCAACTTCTCAGTTAGGAGCTTATACTCGTCTGCAGAGCGGGGCAGACCAGAAGGTTGTGGGAGGGTGCGAACGATCTCCTGCACTTCCAGCCCCATGAGCGTTTGTAAAACGGCAGCTTTTCTCTCCGGCGATGTTATGTCTACTGCCACCAAATAAAATTCCACCCCTCGCAGCCATCGTTCGAAATTCTCACCGGGCGTGAACTGCGCAGGAGGTTGAAGCGCCGCCATAGTGCAGTCCTAATGATGATCCTCGTCGCCAAAAGTGTTCTGTCCTTGTCCACCGAACACTCAACTGTGCCTCGTAGTCTTCATATATTGTAACGCCGCCACGAACCCCACCCAGTCGCCAGCCCAGACACGAATGGCGCGCACACGAGCAAACCTCCCGGCATCGACTCCGCTGACGTGTAAAACCCGACCAGTGAAATCGGCCACTAAATCAACAGCGCAGTATACAACACTAAATCAATAGCGCAGTACGCAACAACATGAAATGTCGTCATCACATCGAATCGTGTTGCGTAAAATAACGTGTTTATAATTATACAATATGCACCAATATAGGAACATATACTCATCCTACATAAGACCTGAAGCTGAAACAATGCAATTAGGTGCTGAATGATAATACTAAATACAAGAACATAACATGTGATTTGCAAGACCCAATGCCCCAATACAACAAATCGCTCCACAGATAATTTCACAGCGTTCAACAATAATTTACCCATCCTGTCATTTCCGGCGGGGCTGCCCACATGGAACGATATCTGACTAGGCATTTAACCATCGTCAGTTGCGAATTCCGAGCCGCAGGCATTTCAACACGGCCGCTTTATAAATGGTCTCGGCCCAGTTAGTAGAGAATAAGAATCGTCGCATTAGCGTATTTATTGGGTGCATTTATAACGGGGAGTGGGCCGCGGGCCGAGCTTGCCACCGGCGGAGGCTCCTCTGCATACGGAAACAGTCGGAAAAATAAGTGGAAACTGAGTCTCCAATGTCGATCAAGATCAGATATAAGGACTTTGGTATTGCTTTCCCCTCTGCATACTGCATACGCTTGCATCCTGCTGTTGCGTTGAATTACTTACGAGACTGATCTAGAGCAAAGTGAAGCGATGTTCGCGTTCGCGTGCCGTACGCCAAACAATCAGTCATAAGACCAGGCTGTGTGACTGATTTCCTGGCCTGATTATGATCTAGCTGTGCCTTATATGTGCTGTGGAATTCGGTCGGGCTCGGGCACGCGGTCTCCCGCAGCTCACAGAGGCCGACCGTGGCATGCCAGTTGGCCCCTGTAAGAATCTTTGGTTGGACCCGTTTCGTTCTACACAGTTGCTGGTTAGACTCTTCTCCACCGCCCGCAGTCAGTAGCTCACAGACTGATGCTTTTCCTGGTGACACTCGTGGCCGCTCGTGAGCTATAAACCGGGATGTTGTCCTTTACCGATCGAGGCCGAGCGGAGGCCAGCCGGTGAACACCAGTCGTGACGCGATGTGGCCGCTCCCCTCTTCCGGTACTGCATGCACTACCCGCTCTGACTTTGCAACCCTTCCGGTACTGGTTATGATCATCGCCCCACCCCCAGCGGCTGTGATATGCAGCCCCCTCTTCCCTCACGCTGCAGCGCTCGACTGCCACGAGGCCGCGAGCCGTCACGTCGCCCATCGTCCCCATTGTTCCGGCGGCCGCCGCGCCTTCCCTGCTAAATCCGTCGCTGTGCGACCGCCGACAGCGCGCGGCAGCCGGGACGGCCGAGGTCATGACCGTTGGTCCCCGTCCGGCCACGCCCGACACGACAGGGGCGGTCCTGGAGCGGCGGAAACGAGCCGGCAGGTCGGCGCGGCGCGGGTGCCGCCGCCGTCCGGCCGCCGCCCGGCCGCTTTAATTAACTGGTCCGCTATCATCAGCCAGTGAGGCCCATGGTCAGCCGACCGACCACGGTCTGGGGCGGTCACGGGGACGGAGGCGGGCTGGTGATACACGGTCCCCCCACCTGACCGGAGAGCGTCCCTCTCTAACCGGCGCCGCCCGCCGGATGTGGTCAATACGTGGCGGCGAGGGCCGACAGGACGGCCGCCTTTGGAGCGCTGATGTGTGGGCATCGATGGACCTCCGGCTGCCATATCGCGGCTGCCATATCGTGGCGGCTGTATCGCTGCCGACGATGGATGTAAAATGGATGGCGGATAAAAGGCGCCGGTGGCAGAAAAATGGCCAAAGCTGAAAAGATTGCGTGTGGCCAGAAAGGCGATGCGGTGGCAGAAGACAGGTTAAATATTGTAGGCATTGACATGAAGCATAGGGAGATTTACCTTGATTTGTAGGAGCAGGCAGACTGCAGAGGATGTGTCGACTGTCGAGCTTCTTCCGAAATGCTTACAAGTAGGTATTCATCATTTTCACATGATTTAGCTGGTTTTAGACAATAAATGATTAGGTAGTATTGTATAATTAGATACAAGCGAATATTGTGCCCATTCAATGTTATTCGTATACCAGTTTCTTACGTCAATTTCATTTCCGATACACAAACTTCAATGCACAAGTGTGCATTGATGTTTCACGGCTTTGAGCTGAGCCCTTTGAAAAATGCGATAGACGCAAGTGTGGAAATTATCGTGTGGGAGCTAGTGATGTCAATCACGGAAAATCGTGATACCGATGCCAAACCAAATCCCTACAAAAACCAATACCGAAACCGAACCGACCTGGCAATATGAAGGAAATACCAACTTTTCACCAAATTATCAGCGTCTTTTACATAAGAGAGAATTTATAATACCAACTATTGCATTGAAATACCAAATACCAAGTTGGTATCAGTTTGGTATAGGTATACCAAAAAGTTGGTATCCGATTGACGTCTCTAGTGGGAGCCCAATCAACCCAAAGACTCAGAGATCAAGTTAGCTACGCCACCGAGCATACTGTTGCTGTTTTATCGCAGCGTCAAAAGGTGACTCACGACTCAAGCGCACAAGTCGCTCCCTGTTTGATCAGCTTCTCCAATCTCGCAGATTCATCGAGCCAAGTGGCGCCGTTAGACAAACTTTTACTGAATTTGATGAGCAAGCACATAATGCTTTTATTCAAAGCTGTATCACTGTGTCCATTTCTCTACATCTTCCAGTGTTTTGTGTTAGTGAATGGTAACATTGGTGAACATTGGTAATGGCGCTGATGCCTAGGTTGGTGATGTTGTTGATGCAGGGCCTTGGTTGATGCTTCAAATAAATACTGGATGTTGGACTGGTAATGGCAATACAAATATATGAATGCTGGTAATATTAACGATTTAGATTGTGGCACACCTCGGCATGGCATATGGGAAGGAGGGGAAGAACGAGAGAGTGAGGAGAGAGAGAGAGAAAAAAAAAATAATGGCAGAAATGAGTAACAGGACATAAGGACCTATCTGCAAACAAAATATCTGCTTATCAACTAAGATATCCAATGCGGTGGTCTTGCTTCAGCTACATCCTGCGCCATTATTGGTCACCTCTCGCTGTTGGCAGTGTTGCTGAACCTGTCACCAGCCTGCCGGGGTGTGTTGGTTCTAAGCGGTAAAGAGGTCATTGCCGAACAGATATAATGGATGAGGTCGGCTTCTGTCTCGACCACTGCTGGTGTGATTTATGGCGAAAAAATGACAGGCCCGCCAGTGTCCAGAGTGCAGTTATTGGTGGGAAAGCCTGGTGGACGTGGGAACTGGCGTATTTATGTGTCAGTGCTGTCTGTGTGTCTGTTTGTCTACCTCTTCTATGCATTTACTACATAGCTTACGTACATCATTTTATAGTTGACAGCAAATAGATAGTGTATAACTCTAATAGTTAGATAATGCGGTACGCTATACTGCCTGATAGGT